ATTCTTGATTTCGCTATCAATAATTATTAATTATGCCAAATTAGAATGCTAAATTCGATGATCCTATAATCTGCTACAGAACCCTTGAACAAGACGTTGGGACGGATCTAGTAATTATAGCTTTAATATTTCATTCAGAATATTGCCATACAATTGGTGGCGGAAGATTGTGACGTTCCAGGATCACGATACGAAAAGGTTTTTCTTGCAAATAAGCCCATGCAGTCACCTATTTTGGCATCAAATCTTCAACATCTGAAATCAGGCTTTGAAGAATATGTCTTAACGCATGGGAATAGTTTAAATAGCAAGTGTAATTCTTGCTTCCCATGTTGGTAAGTCCATAATCTCATGATCAGAACCCCAGTTATTATTTAGAATCTATGATTTTATTCTGATGTTGGTAGATTGATTAATATGCTATGGTTAAGTCCGTCAGCAGCCGACCCTTACTATTCTATACATTAAGTAAGGTTACAACTAAAGTATCCTTTATATACCGTTCTAATGTGCACAGAGAATGCAATCATTGTAGTTCTCATGGTAACAAAAATCCAGTTTCATACATGTACGTCGCATTATCTGGTACCGCAAACCAGTTAAATCCTTCACCGGAAGTACTACTGTTTAAGGTTATTTCTGCTGAATTCTACAAGGTGTTGTCGTTCATTATGTAGCAGCACCCAAACTGTGATATGATCAAAGTACTAATCTTTTTTGTGTCTCACATCAAACTGCTTCTTTTGTGAAATTTTCCTGTTTTATTAATCCTTAGTTAGATCCGTTGAAAATGATGTTGATATGTAATATCACATATATTTGGAGGCAAATTCTCACAATATTCACTGACACAAAAAAGTCTCACATTAAGTAGAATTGGAGTTAAGAAACTATGTTCTCCATCCATAATTCTGTGAGAAGTTCAAAATCTTCATTTTCTTGGTAATCAGAAAAGAATCTCTAGATTCACAAGTCATGTACTGATAGACTTGGAACTATTTACCTTGTGAGCCTTTGTTAGGGAGCATCTCAAGGTTGGGAGTGGACGAGCATGCTGCTCGGAAACTGAACTGGTGATGGAAGCAGTGATAGTAATAAGTAATGTATCAAAGGACAACAGTACATGCTTGAGAGAAAGTGGTGATAAAACAGAGGTTCTTCACTAAATTTCTTGAGCTATAAGTTTCAGTTCTGTTTTGTATTGAACAATAAATAATCAACAGTAGCATTTACATGCAAGTCAGTCTACCGGTAGTGCGTGTATGTGTACAGACAAACTAGGATATCTGGCATTAACTTTTGTATGCTCATTATCTTTGATAGTTTGGGGAGGCAGCTTAGCTCCATGGTAATGTTTGTAGAGTTAGTTTGTGGATATTACTTTCAACATTTATCTGGTATGAGATCAATATTGTCATGGAAATATCTCGTACAGAGTTACTGAAAAAGGTTTGCATTGTCATAGATGTTTATGATACGCTGACATTGATGATACTTTTGAGATTAGCCATCCATGAAAAATGTTTGCAATAAGCTGAAAAATATCCAAGCAGAAGACAATATTTTCTGAAGTTAAAAGAAGTGATGATTCATTTTTACTAAAAAGTCAAAGATCATTATGGAGATTTGTCTTCATTTATTTATTATCCTTTTTGGACGCTCTATGTTTGTTATTTCCCAGATTCGCTTTATCATCCAATTAATGATGGCCTTGTCCAATATCAGGTTATGTATTTCAAAGATTTCTCACTTTGCACAATTCCTCAATCATCTATGAAGGCGTTGAAAAGCGTTGGCTGGAGAAGATATGGTTTGAATTTAACAGGCACAGCGCAGCAAGATGGCCGTGCATTAGTAGAATGGGAAAACTTGCCAACGGATACTCAAATTGATATTGTGCTTCACTCCTATCATCAACAATATCCAGCTTCTTCTGAGAAATCATTTGATGCTTTTCTTGAACAGACACATTACTGCATAGAAAGTAGCGCATATTTCAGTACGGAAATAGTACTTTATCTCTTGCCTATAGTACAGTTCGAAAAACATCTTGCTTATAGTAGATAAACTGGAGGACATATTTCTCCACATGCATTTAAGAATGAAAAATTTCTTCGTGCGACTGTGGTGCTTATATAGTTTCTTAATTTAAATGTGATAAACTTCCTTGACCTTTTGTTAAGACCATGATACGGGCACCAAGGAAAGAGTCTCAAACTGGTAGGAATCTTGTTAAAAGAGCCGTTAAACTCTCATTGGATGACTTGAAGAACAAGCATGCAGGAGCTCTTTTAAGTGCCCGTGCTACTAAGGTGAACCCTCTTCCTTCTTTTCGTCATCCCCCCTCCCCCTTCCCAAAGCACAAAAGCACACATTCACAAGCATATGTGAACACACGTCATGGGCCCTAATTGCTTCTATTGTCGAGTGTTTTCACTCTCACACCAAGACATATCAAACTCGCTTTACCGTATCAAGTTTGCAATTCTTTCAATTTTACCTTTTCTAATATCTTTGTGGCCCTTTTATTTTAACTTAGTGGGCTCCTTATGCCTTATACAGAGTTTGACAGATAAGTCCTGTTATTTATAACTTGTAAATTTGATATAACCTGCTGAAATAAAACAACAACCAGAATAGGAAAAGTGTACTGCAATAGTAAATGAGGAGAAATACTGAGGTTTTGCCTGTTAAATGTCAGAACGAATTGAATTAGTGCTACAAAAAGATTCTCATTGATTTTGGCCAAAACCCTTTTCCCCAATACAATCATTACAGCAAGCAACTCTGACAAAATACACAAAATACTGATGCAGAACCAATAAAAATAATGACGCAGAACCAATATGCACCATTGGCTTTCGAGAGGCCAGTCTCTCCTCTCCACAGTCAGTTTTCCAGCTCTGGCAGAATATCATAGCCTGTTGCAAATTTTATTACATATCGAATACTGATGATATTGATTTGGCTTCTTACAATTCCAGATCTGCAGTTATGCCCCTGATCTGGGAAAAACAATTGCTGGTTTGATTTTGTCCTCTAATGACTTGGAATTCCAAGGAGAATGCTTATCACTTCTTGGATTACAGTCTCAAAGAGTAGGAGCTGAAACTGTGGAAAACCGTATTGTACAAAGGATTGTTTCAGTGATAGAGATGAACGACAAAAAGGATCAGAAAACTCAAGAAGCTGCACCTTTCCTTTTTGATGACGACCGTCTCCGGGAAGAAGAGTTTCAAGAAAACGATGAAGAAGGTGATTATAACATGACGGCACTAGAAGATTAAAGTTTTATATATTTTACAAATTAGCCAGACGCTTCATTACTGAATCATCTTTCTTTTTGATGAAGTACGCCAAACCATTGGTTATTGAGGTAATATAAATCTGTTAATCTCTCTGTTTTTTTTGCTAACAATATAAATCTGTTAATCTGCTCATACATGAGTCCTGATGCTTGGGTTTTTCATTAGCATTTAGGATACAAACCATTGTTAAATAGTCACAATTTATCTTGTTTTTGTTTTTCTATTTTATAACCATGGCTTAATAGTTTATTGTGGAAGATTCAACTACGACAACAATGAATGCCGTGCGCCGTACAAGAAGAAACATGAGACTGCATATTAATAATAATAACAACTTGTTATGGGCTTCTTTAAAAGGTATGGAGTGTATTAAATAGGTCAGAAAAAGTAGTGGGTTTAAAAAAATAAGTTAAAATTAGTTAAAAATAATAAATATGTAATAAATAAACTTACTTTCTTTTTTTTTCCAAACATGTTTTTATTTATAAGGGCCAGTAAAAAAGAAAGTACGAAACCTTTTAATTAATACAATATATAAAATTAATTCGGAATATAAATGGTAAAAATACATTAAATTTTCAAACAACCACATGTGAAATCTTATAAAAAGGATTAAGGTTCAAATTTCAAGTTCTTATAAAAAAGATCGGAGGGAGTAATAAATAGGTTACTCATTTAACAATTCATAAATACTGGAGTTTTATATAAGAAAAATAACAAAAAAAACTAAAAATTATTAAATCTTAAATCAGGTTTGACAACGACACTTCATTTTATGTTGATAATATTGAATTTATAAATAATAATTTTTTTTTATATTTCTTGTTTGGCATTTAGTATTTTTTAACTTTTTTTTATCGTTTTTCCTTTATATTATATGATATATTATTAATAATTTTTTTAACATAAAAAGGATTTAAACCCTTAATCTATACTTACACCCTACACCACTTGTATCTTTCGTGCTAAGTCCAAATTATTGGCAATTCAATAGAGTTTTTATGCTAGAAAAATTATACAATTTTAAGTAATTTAAGTTATTATGTCTTTTGTGGCCAAACAAAAAGTAATTTTGTCAATATCAAAATATCTAGTTGAAAATAAGTTTTAAACCTTGTGCACCCTGCGGCCCTTGCTGAGTAATGCAATTTTCAGTTGTCCTAATACAACTAAATTAGTTACGTTCATAATTTATTGCACGACACATCGCCAAGAAAAAGGAAAAAAAAAAAACCAACAACCAAAAACCAAAAACTCAAAAATGCCTTCTCCCGCGACCGAATTGGCGCCACCATCTTCTTCCCTGTCGTTGCCATTTGCCCATTTCCACAGACCGCAAGGAAGGCTTTTCAGGTGAAGTCGTTTTTTGCTGGCGGGGTTCCCTCTGCGACGGAGCAACTATCAAAGGGAATCGATTATTACAGCATCATCCAAGGGGTTTTATTCAAATGTGGCCCAACTCCTATTCAGGTACTTCTTTTATGCTTCGTTGATTTATTGTTTTGGAAGTGGGGATTGAGAGTTGTAAATTTAGTTTCACCTAGACATCGTTTAGCTTTCTGCTTATTTCTGTCATCTCCGGGATCGCATGTGCTGTCATTTTTCTCTTGTCTTGAAATGTGCGTGAAGAATTAAACCTGCATGTGTCACTGAAATATTAAACCTTCAAGTGGCATTGAAAAGTCAAGCCTGCGAGTGGAAGAGCAAATCAGAAATATCTTTCATTCATGTACACACGTAACTCACCTCTCAATCCTGGTCAAGTTCAACTGTCACTTTCTGCGATAAAACAGAACAGTACTTTTTATTTGATTATTTGTTTTTTTTTTCTTGCAGCCTAAAAATTAAATTTGTTGGGAAACAGAAACTGGGTATAAACGCAGTCGATTAAACACAAATTTCAGCGCCAAATACTCACATTGAAGGGAGCTTCAACTTCATGAAAGCTAGTTCTTTTCTTTCTCGTCAATTTTCACAATTACAAGTCTTGCTTTCATCGCTCCAAAAATCTTTACTGTTACCAGTAAATCTAAGTCTTGAAGAACTTATTGGCAAAGCATTAGACCAATATCCTGCAGTCAAAACCTTAAAGAATGTCCACTCTATCATATTTCGTTGCCATCTTCATCTGGACCCCTCTCTCGGAATCAAACTGATGAGGGCTTATGCTGCTAGAGGGGAAGTTCACCCGACACGCAAGCTGTTCGACGAAATTCCTGCAAAGAATGTTGTTTTCTATAATGTCATGATAAGGAGCTATGTGAACAACCACTTGTACAATGATGCACTGGAAGTTTTCAAGACCATGATTAATGGTGGCTTAGGTCCGGATAACTATACATACCCTTGTGTCCTAAAGGCCTGCTATTGCTCTGAAAATCTAAGATTTGGGCTGCAACTTCATGGGGCTGTGTTAAAGATTCGACTTGATTCGAATTTGTTTATTGGAAATGGTTTAATTGCCATGTATGGGAAATGTTGTCATTTATTCGAGGCACGACGAGTATTGGATGAGTTGCAAGGCAAAGATGTTGTTTCCTGGAATGCAATGGTTGTCGGGTATGCACAAAATGGACAATTTGATGACGCACTTGAGATTTGCCGGGAAATGAAGGTGTCAGGACAATGGCCTGATGCTGGTACGATGGCTAGCCTCATGCCAGCTATAAATAACACATCATCTGAAAATGTTTCATTTGTTAAGGATATGTTCATGAATTTAGAGAAGAAGACTTTGGTCTCATGGAATGTGATGATAGCTGTGTTTGTAAAAAATTCAATGCCCAACGAAGCTGTCAAGTTATATTTACAAATGGAAAAAAATAGGGTGGAGCCTGATGCGATCACCTTGGCTTGTGTTACGTTAGCCTGTGGGGATCTTTCGGCTCTGTCGCTTGGGAAAATAATTCATGAATATGTTGAGAGGAAGAAACTATGCCCCAATGTGATATTGGAGAATGCATTGATAGACATGTATGCTAGGTGTGGATGTCTAGAAGATGCAAGGGAAGTGTTTGACAGAATGAAGTTCCGTGACATTGCATCATGGACATCATTGATATCTGCTTATGCTATGACTGGGCAAGGTCGCAATGCTATCTTGCTCTTCAAAGAAATGCAAGATTCGGGTTTAAGTCCTGATTCCATTTCTTTTGTTGCTCTTCTCTCTGCTTGTAGCCATTCGGGTTTACTGGATGAAGGGAAGTTCTACTTTAAACAAATGACGGTTGATTATAAAATAGCCCCAAGGATTGAACATTTTGCATGCATGGTGGATGTCTTGGGACGTGCTGGGCAGGTTGATGAGGCCTATAATTTCATCATACAGATGCCTTTGGAACCTAATGAGAGAGTTTGGGGTGCTCTGCTTAGTGCTTGTCGCGTGTACTCCAACATGGATATTGGGCTTTTAGCAGCTGATAGACTTTTTCAGTTGGCCCCTGAGCAGTCAGGTTACTACGTGCTGTTATCTAATATATATGCAAAGGCTGGTAGATGGAAAGAAGTAACTGCTATTCGATCATTAATGAAGAGAAGAAAACTTAGGAAAACACCTGGAATCAGCAATGTTGAGCTGAATAATCAGATTTACACCTTTCTCGCTGGTGATAGATCTCACCCACAGTCAAAGGAGATATATGAAGAACTAGAGGTATTGGTGGGAAAGATGAAAGAATTAGGTTATGTCCCTGAGACTGATTCTGCTCTTCATGATGTGGAGGAAGAGGACAAGGAATACCATCTAGCTGTGCACAGTGAAAAGTTAGCTATTGTGTTCGCTATTTTGAATACACAACCTGGTTTTCCAATCAGAATTACAAAGAACCTTCGGGTCTGTGGAGATTGCCATATTGCTGCCAAGCTTATCTCCAAGATAGTTGAGCGTGAAATTATTGTTAGGGACACTCATCGATTCCACCAATTCAAAGATGGGATGTGCTCTTGTGGAGACTATTGGTGAGAGCCAACCTGATCAGTCTCTAATTGAGACTTTAACATTATTATTGACGGACTATTTAAGGCTTTATGGGGTCAAATTTTGGATCGAATATTATCTGAAGCTAATTGCCGTGAACTGCAAATCGGCAACTCTGGTGATCCTGTACATTGCTCAGCACACAAAAACAGATCCTGTATATGTAATACGATGGCCTGAGAAGATTGAGTATCTTGTTGAAGGAGTTTCTGATACCGGTATTGGAAGCTGCTTGAAAGAATTTCAAGACTGGAAGTTTTGTTGGGGAGGTATTACTGAGAATTGGGGTATGTGAAAAATTTGTCGTTAACACGATAAATTTGAATTTTCGTTCTTTAGCTTTCAATTATTTATTTACTTATTTGTTGTTTGTGCTCCTTGTAACAGATGGAATGCTTCGTGTTGACGCCACCAGTTTATTCTTAAATATCTAGGTTGCATGAGCACAAGATACATGGGCACCTAAAATTTCCATGAGCTTAGTCTTTCAAATAGCCGTAAAATTGAAATGATTGAAGGAGGTTCATATGCGTGTACAAGATTTTATCAGACTTTTGAATACATTCCAGCATTTGTAGTAATAACGCATTAGTTAGTCGTAAAATATTCTGGATGTTTAGCCAAATCGCAATAATGTAAAATCTAAAATATCGTGTACAACATCTTTTTACATAAGCAAAACGCCATGGTTTCCAATATATTGACAAGAAGAACGAGACAAAGCACGCCATCATACACTGCATATCCAAATCAATGAAGTCCATTAACAAACCTATATATATTTCTAACTACATCTTTGTCCAAGATCAAAGCCTAGCTTCATCCAACAGTCAAAAGGGGAGAACAAATATAAGAGAGTGATGGCCCTATAACACCAGCTTTAGGTATGGTTTCTTCTCAAGCAGCAGGAGGAGCAGGAACGAAAGAAATTTCGGGCTCTTCAGAAATGGAAGCCATAATTGGTGATCTTGATAAAGACTCTTCCTCAGCCACAACCTGCAAATGTTGAGCCTTAAAATCAAGGGATTTATCATTGTAAATGTTCCACCATTTTGCAACTAACATCTTTATGTCTTCCCTGTCCATGTTAGCTTCCTTGCCAGTGTACCTCCATGGTTTTGAACCCTATTTACATATAGAAAATGGAGATTTATAAGTCCTTTTTTTTTTTGTAAATCAGCACTCATGTTTATTTTATTAAAAAATTGTGACACGTCACTTACGGTTGCACAATAGTGGGCCACCTTAACCTTTGTCAGGTCCACATTCTCTGGATGACGCCATAACATAGGCAAAACCAGGTTGTATTCCAAAGGTAGAGGCTTGTATCGCTCTTGGAAGAACATATTCAGAAAATCCTATTAAGCCATTATTCCAGAAGTTTCAGTCAAAATTTGGTCTCCTTCGTTATCTTGAAAAGGTTAATAAAACATTAAGGTGTAAAAAATTGTCTTTCATCTTTCTTTTTGTCAAAATCGAATTGAAAACCTCTGTTGTGCATTGTGTGCGCGTAGTGGAGGTTTTACTCTTTGCAAAATGGAGTATGTTTAAAAGAAATATACATTAAAGAATACGGCTGTGCATATCGAACCTACATCTCACAATTAGGTATAAGACTTAAAATTTGGAAAAAATATAACTATCAAAAAATCTCATAACAAGTTAATGATAAGTTTTATTATAGAAAATGACAATGAAGTCCATTTTGCTTATTTGTTATTGAGACTTCTTCATGATTACGGAGATCTCATTCGCTTTATTTTTTTTCCTCTATCTCTCTCTAAATGCATTTTTTCAATTTATTTTGTGATTTTAGGGGATCCGAATAAAACTTACTTGCTCAGCAAAAGGAGTGGGAGGAGTGAGCTGGAGAGTGTGAAGAAGGCTGTGATAGGTAATTGGATTTGGCTCAAACACAAACATGCCAGCATTGAAATACAATGGAGGAGGAGACCCCATATGTGCAGGCCAAGCAACCTTACCCGGACATTGTTGGCAATATCCAACCTTGTACTGTGCTGAGTGGCTCCATGTTATCTCACAGAAGCAGTCCATCACTGCATACAAATATCCATCCTCTGTGTCGAACAAATGGTCTATGTTGTCGTATACTTGTATGTCCGCATCCAAATATATCATCTTCCTGTATCCTTCCAACTGCACAAATACACGCATTGAAAAAAGAAAAAAGAAGTTAACATTTGGTTTACTTATATGACAAGTATACAGTAAAGGCCATTTGTCGAACACAAGAAAAGCAAAAAAAGAGATCAACCTAATCGATGATATATACAAATAGAAAATGACCCAACAAAGATTGAAGAAGAAAGGTGTTTGGCACTCACATTCCAAATACGAAGCTTGGAATAGTTGATGACATAATAGGCCATGGCGAATTGAGTTTGATTTGGAGGAGGATAGATTGGTTCAATGTCATGAACAATACAGCCCTGAGACCTCAAAATCTGAAGATGCTCCTCAGGAACATCAGGCAAAGTAGCAACTACTAAAGGATATGCACTTTTCACTTTGCGTAAACCCTTAGCCAAACCCACCACACCTTTCATATAATCTCCATTTCCAGCCAAAAATGTCACATATGCTTTCTTTAAGCCCTCTCTGTTTGGCTTCGTGCCTGTTCCTGCAATCACCTCCTTTGTTAGTTCTTCATCGGCCATTTTATGAAACACTGATTCTAACTTCAATATGAGACACAATATGATAAGAACACTGTGACAAGATCGGATATATTGGTCTTGAAAAAGGCTTGTATTGTATATGATTTGAAGTCGCCAAAAAAAAAAAAAAAACAAAAGGTCTATATGATTTGAAGAAGGCTTTGTTTTTGAAGTATCAGTGTTTCCTGAAGGTGGGATTAATGCATAGCTTCGTTGAAGAAGTTTGTAGGAAGAGGATAAATTTGAGAAAAGAGAACAGAGAACCAGGAAATACGAAATAAAATTAAAGCTAGGTTTGATTGCTATGATGGTGGTCTTGCCCTTGTTTATATAAACTTCAAATGACTAGCAAATGCATGTTAAATTCAGCCCAAATGAAATTCCAAACCGGACTTTCTTATGTTTATCATGTTGCGCTGTTAAAAAAATGGTTTAGTGATCGTGACGATATAACTTATTTGATACGGATAAATTAATTTTGAATGTTATTAAATAATTCATGCCATGTGCAATAAAAATAATAATAATTCAGAGCAAGTGTGGGAAATTGATTGGAAAAAAAAAAAAAAAACTCTTCCGGTCCTTAATATAAGACCCAATTGTTGAGTTAGTTTTTGTCCTAAATATAAAACATATTTCTTATATTTATCAATTTTTTTCTAAATTACCCATATGGATACTCTCTCAACCATAATCAAGTAGAAAAGGGAGAGAGAGTGTTAAAAAAGATGATTATGGTGTTTTAGGAAAAATGTGTCACTTTTCTTATAATTAACTAATTTACCTAACTTCCTTAATCTAATCAAATTAGTTAAATGAGTTTTATATTAAGGACGGAGGAGTATTATAATAATGTGCCGGGTTGTAATAAAAATAATAATAATATGCTAGGTTTGATGATCACGGTTCATACCCTGCACAGGGCTAGCTTTATCATGAAAAGAGACGGTTGAGATTCGGATGCCGGTGGAATTGGGAGATTGAAGGAAGGTTTTAGTAGAATATGAAAGGTATATTTTATACTCCTTCAATCTTTAATATAAGATCTATTAACTAATTTGATTAAATTAAAAAAGTTAAGTAAGTTAGTTAATTATAAGAAATGTGACACATTATTATAAGAATTGCGACACATATTTTCTAAAACAATATAATCATCTTTCTTAATGCCCTATCTCTCTTTTCTACTTGATTGTGGTTGAGGGAGTATCCATAGAAATTTAAAGGAAATTGACAAATATGAAAAATGGGTTTTATATTTAGAACTAAAACTAACTCAACAATTAGGTTTATATTAAGGACCGGAAGAGTAATATCTATATATATATATGGCCATCAATTTTATAATATATATAATATACTATAATGTAAAATATTACCTTCAATTTTAAATATAAGACTCAGTTTATAGTATAAATTATACTATAAAGCAAATCTTATATTTAATATAAGATATGCAGTGGGCATTTAATGGTGTGCATCCCCATGAAAGTGAGTGGGTCTAATAGAGAAATTGTAATTTGTAGCATTTAGTTTAAAATATTTATGTTGATAGATTTTAAATTTTAATGAGATTTTTTTAATTGCAACTGTTTGTGTTAAAATTATCAATATTTAGCAGCATATAAAATCTTGAAAGGTGAAACAAGCTTAAAGGCAAAATAAGGAGGAAAGAAAAAGAAGTGATGGCAAAGAAAAGAACACGGTTTCTATAAGTATTTACTACTCATATTGATAATATAATATTTACCTTTTTTATTTAACTATTGTGTTTTTTAAAAGCACGTATTAGTTGAATAAAAAATCAGTTTAAATTTCTGAAACAAAAAAAAAAAAAAAGCTACAAAACACAAGACAGCATGGAAGCTCCTAGGCTCCTAGCTTAAGTTGCGTCTTATCTTTACAGGGAAATAATATCTCATTCTCTGTAAATTTTAAATTTTGAAGTAGAAATTCAAGCAAGCCAATTCAACGATCACTAATAATTACAGAGTTCTTTAAATTTCAGAGCAGCCCTTTTTTTTGGCATAAAGAATTTCACAACAACCTTATGAACGTTTGTTTACAAGATTACCTCCATGTGCACAATCACAACACTATTTTTTTATATCCGTTATTTAATTTTCTATTTTTAAAAAGTATGCTTCCTTTCATGGTTTTATATTCCATTTGTAGTTAAAAGCAAAACTAATGGCCTAAGCAAAGAATATATACTGAAGTACGAAGATATTGTTAGTTTGTCACTGAACATTCTGGAAGGAATTAAACATTAAATAAATATTATTTCAATATTTTATTTCTTCTGACTTTAAGTTAAATCGATATGACAATGATATAACTATTTAAACACTCGGAAGAATTTGTTTATTTTTCTATCATTTTTAATGGGATTTAACTATTTGAACTTGTCCAGTGGGAAGTCGCCAACCTTGCATTATATCACACGACATATCTTCCGTGCTTCATTAATTTAATTGGTTCACTGTCACTACATCAGATAACTCATTATTTTATATGATCACCAATTATATTTTTGACTTTTCATATAAAAAAAAGAAAGAAAGAAAAATTATTTGCTCCTCCCAACTCCCCCCCCCCTTCCAAGTCTCTAGACTAGATATCATCTCAATGCTTTATATCAAGTCTAAAATAGGCTGCGCTTTTCATGATTTGGGATAATGTGATTTGATGAATATTGATTTCTTATATATTCTATTATGTATAAAATATATTTTTTGCCATATATAAATATTGATATATTGATGTTTCCTTTCTCAGGTCCCGGCAAACTACTTCAAGGCCACTGCAGCATTAATACATGCTCAATCGTTGTTTGTTCTCATTGTTCAAGTTTGCTTGGGCTTGTTGCGTGCCACTGCCCACTTTTCATTATGAGAATATAGGTAGAAGGAACGAAGAGAAATGGACTTTAGAAGTAGACTTGGTACATAGAAAAGTAAGTAAAATCCAAGAAACAAAATATCAGACTAAATACTAAATCAATTAGAATAGTGGTTCAAAGACTCAGTAAATCAACTCAAAATTAAATTAGTCATATTAAAATAATATAATTTAATTAAAAATAACAAAATATAACATTAATAATTACTAATAACAAAATATAAAGAAATATAACAATAATTTGATAAAAATATAATATTGAGAATCTTGATCTTTACAATTTCTCAATAACTAAAATTAATAATTATTAATATCAAAATTACTATTAAAAACTGAATAAAAAAAATAAAAACAATAATAACATGACTATCCAAACCGATTCATCACCAATTTTTATTAGTTTACTCCAATTTAATCGAGTTGACACTAATTCAATTACTAGCCAGCTTATTACTTAAACCAAACCGAACTATTGATTGGTTTATTGGTTTTCTAATTAAACCGGTTGGTTCAATCTTTTTTTTTTTCACTGGTAAAATCTTACTCCTTTTTTTTTGGGTTTGTTTATGCGTGTTCGAGGATATTGTGTGTCAGACATGGAATAGACATGCATGGGAGAAGAGTGAGGGAGGGAGAGAACTTTTTTTTGTTGTTTCGTTGACAAGGGAGAAAGCTAAACGACTTAAAAGTGTGAAAATCTGAAGGGGTTTGAGTTTGGTGGAGGGTGAGAACAAATCTGAACAGAAGGACTGAATTGCAAGGATTTTAAGGGCTTGGATCCCCTGCAGCGAGTCATATGTGCAGTGTAAGAGTGCAAGAGAACTCACCAACGGCTCCATGAAAAGGCTCGATGATTAAGCATTATATAATCCCCATCTTCACAGACCATAGGGCGGTAATTGCAGAAGCGGCAGTTATGATAACAGTTTTCAGAAAAGGGATGGCGCATTGAATTAGTTTCCATGAGAGTTACAAACATTGCAGCCAAACCCAAATATAAAGCTCAGGTATCACATATCCCCCATCATGAAAACAAATTTCTACAACAGCTTTAGCCACTGAGTCCTACTACACCACAGAAGATAAACACAAAACCAATTTATCTCTCAAGAGATTCTGTTTTTCTTATATCGAAAAAGCCCAAAAAAAAAAAAGCTAGATAATATTCACCCCTGCATCCAGAATTACTCCCACAATAAGACTCCGAAAGAGCATCAGGCCTGTTGTGATAGAAAAATCAGGTAAGAATCACCACATGGCACATTTAAATGTTAACTAGTCAAGGTGAAGATCACATGCAAGCATAGAGGCATACAGCATGAACTTTGCCACCACTCTAAACTAACGAAATATCCAAAACCCTCCATCCATCATTAAGCATTGTTTTTAATCAATATTGCGGAGGGAAGGAATAGTAGCTACCTTGTTGGCTATATTGTTGGAAAGCCAATCCAAACCCTCATAAAGGCCTTCCCCAGAAGTTGCACAGGTGCTCTGGATATACCTGGAAAGATCGTAAAACAATAGTCCTGATCAGGATCGCTAATCCTATTAATGATAAATGACAATAAGGTGGTCAAATTCTTTACCAGTGGCGCTGCCTGAGAGAGTGGAGACCCAGCTTATCAGTGATCTCAGCAGCATTCATTGCATTGGGAAGATCTTGTTTGTTAGCAAATACAAGCAATACTGCATCTCTGAGTTCATCCTGAAAGATAATTAAAGGAAATAAAACATTTTAAACTTCCCCCATAATCAACAGAAAACCACTCAGAGCAAGCTAACATCAATTGCTAGACTAATGTATTAACAACATGGAGTCACATCACAGTAGGTAAAGGTAAATGCTGACAGAGGTACCTCATTCAACATTCTGTGCAACTCATCTCTTGCTTCAACGACTCTGTCCCTATCATTGCTGTCCACAACAAATATAAGGCCCTGTGTATTCTGGAAGTAATGCCTCCACAAGGGACGAATCTGCAAAACATTAAATGAAAAAAAAATAAATATCAAGCCATCAGCCTCCAGGACAAGAATATTTAAAAACGGTAAAAATTTTGTATTGTTTGGCAGTGAGATAGAAGTGGCCTACGTATCATGCACATCTATCAATATAAAAAAGAATGAAGAGGGATCAAAGTTTACACCTTGTCCTGACCACCAACATCCCAAACAGTGAAGCTAATATTCTTGTATTCAACGGTCTCCACATTAAACCCTGAAAAAGAGTGTTGGAAAAGCCCGTAAAAAAAGGGGTATTTAGTCGGGGAGGGGGGGGGGTTTACACAAAGGCATCACAAATGTTCAGGCTGATATATATGATACTAAAAAAACACTTCACATGCACAGGAATCAAAACAATAATATTAGAATCGCTACAGTAAGATCAAGGAAGGAGAAGAATAAATCAGTCTGGATGATCAGCCACAATAAAGACCTACTCAACCCTCAAAAGTGCAAACTAAACTCGGAATTGACAACCAAATGCTATCAAATTATGTGTGCCCATGCATATGGAAGCAGCTTCCGCTGTAATGTACACTAGCCAATATTTGTATCTCCAAAACAATCAATCAAGCAAAATTTTTTACTTTCACTCAACCATAACTCTTACATAAAATTATGTATGCCCGTACACTTTTCTGAAGTGGAAGAGAACAGAAAAGAAAGAGACAAACAAATATATACTTCACTATTTTCCCTTTTGTGGGTGTTCTTTTTTTTTCCTTTTTTTTTTCTTTTTTTTGGGGGGGGGGGTTGTGTTTGGCAATATGAAATAGAACCTATTGCAGGTAGAATTGCTGCAAGGAACCACTAAATAGACAAAAGGAAGGAAAGGCGATAATATCACTTTAGCCTTGCTTGTTCCTCAAGCTGATTCTGTCACTGCTCAATGCTCTGCAGCTCCTCTTTCTCTTTAAACCTAGCCGATGTGTTTTGCTTCAACAAATTCAAGCAGCACATTTCTCTCTTGAACTTGTAAACCTTCTAAACCTCTCTTTTCCAATTCTGAAAATAGATAGTAAATACGCCCGCTTCACTAACAACTTCATACTTTCTAGGAAATAAACTTCTTTACTTTGGCTTCCAAACCTTTTTACCCAATCAAGACTTCTCCTTTTTCACTTGGAGCCTCTAACCTCAAGTTATTGTAACTTATAGTGTAGCGCCTAATGTATACCTTTAGTATTAGACTAACTTGAATAAAACATGCCAGCCATATATCCAATGATCAAGTATGACGTTGGGAATTAGACAACTCATCCTTGAACTTCTACATGAACAGGTAACTCATAAATAAAGGATATCATGCTGATGCAAATTGAATATTTAAAATTTCAAACCAAAGATCCGTTCAAAACTTACCAGTAAAATTACAATGAGTATGATAATCAATCAAGAGTATTTACTGAATTAATGGTGCAACAAGTTGCATGTTGGATCTCATGTCAACTATCCAATATTTGGTGGCATGACTAAAATCTAAAGTGGCCGAATCATCTACAATTTTAGCATTCACTTTTCAAGGTTTCTCCATGGCTCCTGATCTGCTGCTAACGGGCCATGTGTAACACATCATGATTTCAAGAAAGCTTATCAACATATCAACAAAAACCAGTTACAAGAAAATATAAAAGGAGGGGCATTGGAGTGCATCCGTTAGAAGCACCTTTGTGTGGGAATTCAAAACGGCTCAAATGGGGATTTACCAATCCCATCGCCCCTCGTCTAATGTTTCTCCCCACATAAAAAAATAAAAGGACAAGGTTGTCCAAATACAAAAAGCATACAGCTCTTAAAATAAAACTTTAACTTAACAGCAAGTACAGTTCAGAAACTTACCAATGGTAGGAATTGTAGTAACGATCTCCCCAAGCTTGAGCTTATACAAGATGGTGGTCTTACCAGCAGCATCAAGACCCACCATGAGAATTCGCATTTCCTTTTTGGCAAAAAGCCGACTGAAAAGCTTCGTAAATGTCAGTCCCATTTCTCCTTCAAACGGCGGACCCCTACATATACCCATGCATAAAACATCAACCCGATAGAACATTTTAGAAGCAAGCTTCCAAGTGGTAAATTTTATTTTATCAAAGACAAATCTGTCTTAAACTTGTAAAGCATCCTAATTGTTGCGGGGAATCTAACCAAGCGGAGTCGTCAAAGGAAAATCAAGTTAATGCCACTTGATTTGGCCAGATCTCATGCTAATGAGACCACAGCGTCATACAACATGGTTCACAATTCGCATCGCATAATCTTTTGATGGCAACGGGAATGGATCGCACCGATCAAAATTACGATGTTAACATGGCATTCGAAGATATCCTGCCGGATTCATTACAATATTGAGAAAACAAAAAGATCAAAACAGTCCGTTTCCACAATAATCAGATCAACACAGGGAGAGAACAATAAAAAAGCCAAATACTGAAAATACCAATAAAAAACCTCAATAGAAACTTCATTCCATCGGAAAATCCAACTGAAATTCAATAATGAACTTAAAACTCGTATTCCCGAAATAATAAACGCCATAAACACTTGTGGAATGCAAAAATCCAAAGGAGAAAACAACAAGGAAAGAAACTTCAAAACCGATATTCCAAAAGGTTGAGGGGACTGATGAAACAGAAGCTGTGACCTTGGATACAAAATTTACCTTGAGAGATGTGCGCTTAAGGGATCTACTAAAATAAATCGCAGAGAACGAGAGACACGCGAGGGGTGAACGCTTTGGGCCAATGCCAATATGAGGGGTTTTATGGCAGAGGGGCACGGGTACGGAATTGTTTGTCCATAAGAGTTAGTTAAATTACGGAATTACCCTGGATCGGAAAAAAAAGTTGGAATGTGAGATTTGATCAGAAGCTTCCAAACGCGACAACCTTTTATTAATCTGACGCCAGTACTTATTTTATGGTTCTGGCGAGCTGGCTGTGTGGTTGATTTTTTAATATTTCAATTGAATTTCAATATCTGAAGAGCTGCATATTTTCACATACGTTTAATTTAAATTAATCTAAACATTAATAAGATGAAATCAAATACAGGAAAAAAAAACAATAATTCCAAATTATGTAACAGTTATGCTAAGTAGGATCTATATATATAATAAATAAAAATCAAAATCAAACTGAGCCATTTTCTTATTCACAACGGCTCCTCACTCATTTCACTGTGCCATGAACAGTACCACCTAAATGAATAGTGTCAACTTGTGGATATGACTCTCTGTCGGGATGAACTTCTTTAGTTTTTAATTTTCTGATTTTCTCTCTTCTGTTGCGTGTGAAAGTATAAAAACTATTTTGCCTTATTTTTCAGTCTCCATGAAGTGAGTCAGGTTGTTTTACCCCGCTCATTTTAATATTTTCCCTCTTCACATTCAAAATTCAAACTTTCTTAATTTGTACTCTTTCTCCCTCATTTTCTTCATTTCTTCACCAAACCTATTGGTTACAGATGGAAAGTATCAAGTGGACTGAGAGGAGAAGCGAAAGAGGCAAGCAAGGAGGATTTTAGAGGCAATTAAGACAGGAATGATAAAGAGGTTAAGGACGGAGGAAGAAGAGATAGCCAAGATTGGGAAGTTGAACTGGGCTCTGGAAGAGAAGTTGAAGTCGCTATCCGTGGAGAATCAAATATGGTGTTATGCTGCCTGATGCTTGGTTCTTCTAGATTGAAATATAGGGGGAGGATAGAATATAAAATGCTCTAAAATATGTTTGCTTGATAGGTGTTTGTTAAAATGCACGTGAGAAATTTTTGTGTGGGTTGTGCTTTTCTTTTTCGGGTATATCCTCTCTATTCTGTGTTTTTGCTTGGCTAAAATGGTGCAACAATTTGTGATCTTTGATAGTTAGGAAGAAAAGATAATTGAGTGAATGTAATAATTTGCCGCCAATGAAAAGGAGTCTTATGTAAAGAGAGTCCTATTGAGTGAATGATGATTATTTTGATGCAAGTATATCCAGAACTTCTATTTGGGCGCTCCAGTAATTAGGTGCTATTGATAGAATTTTGCTTTATTCAAGCACCGCTTTTTTAGATGCTAGCTCATATGTTGTGCTTGGTGGTCTTTGTTTCACATCATGTTGTAGTTTGAGTTTTATTGGAAGGACTGAATGGACTAGTGTCAATGGACTTCACGTTAGTTTTTTTATTTGACATTGTAGTTAATTGTTTTGACATTGCAGAGTTCTTTGCAGGGCCTATTGAAAAGAAGTTTCATCTATTAAGAGTCTCTACTGTATGTTCACATATGCGGTCCCTTGATCCTTAGATTTAGTGCTATTTTTGTAGGTAATGGAATTTCTCATGACTGTAATGAATTCCTAATATACATGGAATGATAAAATTTGCATATCATATGACGTGTTGGATTATGGGTTTGTATTTGTAATCATTGTTCTCTTTAAAATGCAGCATCAAGCAGACATGTAAATTAGATTTTCCTTACATTTGCTCAAATATTCCTTGCTTTTAAATTTATGAAATGTTAAGTCTATCAGAATTTGTTTGCTGATGAACTATAGCAATACGAAATAGGTGGGGTAGTTGTTGTGTAAGACTTATGAATATCATTAAGGCGTGGCAGATTGGAAGTCCTCAGTTTATTGAGAAGTTTGTTCACGTGGAGAGGTGAAGAAATTTTGTTTAGAGTTGAATTCATAATTTTTTTATTTTTTATTATTTAGCCTAATTGAACCACTGTCATGGTTTTTTCCCGTAAAAGTTACCTAAGAAATAATTGGTAAATTCGTTATATGTTAAATTCATGTATCTTTTGTTTCATATTTTTTATTTGTAGAGGTTGATCTAGTAGGAAAGAAAGAGTTGTTTAAGTTTATCAGTTCCTTTTTTTCCCCAAATTTTAGGGGTCGTCCTCAATGAAATGGTGTTTTCAGAGTTGTGGAGTGGGAGATCGACACACACTTATCTTGCAGGATATGTATAACTGAAAAATCTGCTATGATATAAGTTATTAAATTTATTAAGTTTCTTATTTATATGACATATAATTCTGTCATTGTCCAGATCTTTATCTTAAGCACTCACAAAGTAAGATGGTTGGCTGAAGTTTCTTGAAAAGAGGATTAATTTTGAGAATACAAAAGTTCTGATATTTCCAAGGGTGGAAAATCAGCACAAAATTATCTTGTAGGATTTGCTTGCTTGTGAAAATCTTTTGTAATGTGTTGTATGTTTGGACAAGTTGTGCATCATCAAAAGGATTTGATACATATTATCACTTTTGTTCTTCCTCTCATTGAGTTATTTTAATTAGTAAGAATGATTTGATACTGTTTTGTGCAACCCTATAAAAACAAGATCATAGGCTATAGATGTTACATTTTCATTTATTTTCTCTGTTCGGGAAAAATGTGATTTTTCATTCTTGACTTGGATTGGTATATAATAAATGCAAAATATTGGACCTTAATGATTGAAAAATTATAGGTGTTAAACGATGTAAGACCTCGTGAACATGAAAAAGGCACAGGTAGTATTGTTCAGTATTTCATATTAGCTTGAATTATATTTTTTTTCCAAATCACAGAACGGCTACAAGAGATGACGATGTTGGGTTAAAAATTTGATAAATGAATATTGTCGTTTAGTTTGTTCCTTAGCTCTTCTCTCAGTGAAGATATAACTAACAACATTTGTTTACAGGGAAGTCTTTTTTAACCTGTGATAAACATTTTTCTGGGTAGTAGTGTACTCATTTTTTGAATTGATCTTTTTGTTTGGTGAAAATATTAATTATGTTGTGTCTAAATCTCAGAATTAGATATGTGAAGTTAATGCATCATGTGCATTGCGCCGGGTAGCCCGTGCTAGTTGAATTATAAAAAAAGTACAGGCAGAATCAAATTGGAGGGGTGTTTTCTCAGTATAATTAAATTATAAATGATAAAAATAATAATAAAAAATAAAAAAATGAAGGACTGAGTCATAAACAAGTTAAAAATTTAAAAACTGCGTCACATCAAGTCATAATTAAGAAAACTAAATTATAAATGAGTTAAATCAATGAGAGAAAAAATTAACTCTTAAATTTTTTTTTTTGGTTACACAAATGTGTTGAAATCTATAAATAATCCTAGGAAAACATATGAGTATGAATTGATGTTATCCTCCCCCATCAAAAAATAAAAAGTCAATATAAATTTTTGTCTCTCAAGTTTGTTTTTATTTTGATTTTGGTTTTTTTAATTTTTAAATTATATATTTTAGTCCCTTAAGTTTCTTTTCATAAAAAATATTCATCCCTATAATTCAATAAAAATCTGAACGATTTTATTTTTTGAGGGACCAAAACTTATAGTTTAAAACTTAAAAAATCAAAACTAAATGAGAACAAACTTAAAGCAACAAAAATTATATTAACTCAAAAATAAATTATAACTTGTGGAGTTCAAATTTTTATGTAGAGTAAACACATTTCTTTTTATAGAACCAAATACATTTCTTTTTTGGTATGAGTCAGGGTATTCTCAGGTATAAGTGCACTTCTTAAGATTTAAATTTTTGTTCTTCTTTTTACATGATGAGACTGTTTACCATTTCAACCTGACATGTTTTTATTGCTTTCACATCCTGTATCTTAGGCTAGCCCCTATTCACAGGGCACTCAATAAACCCAGACTAATCTGGATTTGGGTTTTGTTGGCCTTGTATGAGGGAGACATTGGCCTCTTATTCCTACACCTCAAACTCGAAACCTGTTGTTAAGCTAGAACAACTTCGACTAGTTGGGGTTTTTCAACCTGACATGTTTTTAGGAAACCAAATACATTTTTGATATACAATACATGATATGAAAAGTTGCTTGGGCAGTCCATAATTTATAAATGATACCACTAATTAAAAATTTTATGACCTTTATATATATATATATTTTGAAGAAAAAATTACATCAAAAGGGGAATATCCTTTGACAAAAAAGATGTGATCATGATATAGCAGATTAAATTTCAAAAAATGTTAACTTTTTATCTAACATTTTTGTATGCCTATTTTTCATTATTAACAGGGACAATGACAAAAAAAACTGGAATTTTGAAAATACCAAATAAGGAATGTCAACAAAAATTTGTTGTCATCTACAAATTTAGACTTGTTAATATCAAATAAAATTATGTTAACAAACCTGATTTGAGATTTATAATTTCTAGCTTCTTTTCCTGTCATTCTTCCTTATTAGTAGGTGTTTCCATTTAATTTTCATGTCATTTACAATTCTATGATAAATTTGAGCGCTACCTGGGAGTTTCCGTTAGGAAAAAAAATCAACGTCCCTGTCCTGCCAAGGGGCATAGATCACAGAACAAGACAGTCACTCTTAGTTTATACATCAATCTATGTTATTTTACTAATTCATACAAAAATATGCTGTCGCACAAAAATTTCTATAAGAGCCAATATCAAAATTAACATAAAACCAATTTTTTAAGAATCAGTGTTCCACTGTTTTAAATCAATGTCAAACCAACGTGACATCTATAGATTCTTTTAAATTAATGATGATCTAAGGTAGCCAACGATGTTTTTTGCCTCTCACTCAACTTCACCCAGCTCCACATGACAGATGATCCCAACCAAATTTGGCTGGTTAGATTTTTTACAATCTTAATCCGTTCTTTTTTGCCCCTTTTCCATTCCAAAATTAAAAAAAAAAAATGAATACTACTAGTGAAAAAATGCATGTTAAGAAAGCTACTCTTATCTGAATAATTGTAAAAACAGGTCATTGCGCTTTTTTAACAACTCAACATTATGTAGCTATCATACTATATATTTGCCCTACTTCCAATTGAAAAGTCCATAACATCATCCCATGACAGGAGAGTGCATGAAGTACAAGATCATAATTCACTAAATAAACAATTACTACGCCAATGAGAAATTCGATTCAACCTAAGCGGACTTTAGCTAGAGGACGACACAGAAATTAAGCTAAGCTGGCGTCTTCATATTAATTTAGCCAGGAGAATGAAAGAAACTATATATTATATACAGTAACAGACAGACTCACTGCCTTCCGGCTGATGAAGTTCCAAGAATAAATGCAGAATTCAGAAGCCTCCGGACATGCGAAGCTGCAAACAAGGGAGAAAATGTCAGGAAGGCGTGGGAGGAAGACCCTCTCTCCATTTGAGTTTGTTAAGACGAAAACAAGAGACGCCTAGGCACCGGGAATTCACCAGAAAAGTAAACCATTAAAAGAGGAAAAAAAAAAAAACCTATCACCTTTCACGCAGTCGCCAACAATATGTCCTAATATTAATCTTTTAAGAAGAGAACTCAAGTGACAATGAAGCTCACCAGTTTGAACTTTGAGTTGATAATAATGGGGTTAGCGCCAATACTGAGCCCAGCGATGAATGGTCTCAACCATCTGAGGAAACAATGCACTAACACTCTCATTGATAAGATCCTGGAAGAAATGTATACTAGCTTCATCGTCCAAGTCTAACCGAAACTTCTCCTGAAGCTGTATAGCAACAGAATTCTAAATACTGTCAGAAACCAAAGAGCATTTTTGACTGCGTGATGTTTGAGCAAGAATGAGCTTACCTTCAGAATTCCTTTTTCAGGATCAGAAGCAATGTCAGGAATATTGGAACTCGCCATTAAATAAAATAAGTTCAAAATTAGGTTACTAGATTTGCGAAGAATGTTGTATGCTTCACAACAATAGGACTTGAACCTTGTATAATACTGGCTGCGGGGAGAGAAAGCAATCAACAATACACTTTTTAACCAAACACATGATGCAATCACCATCTTGAATCTAAAATGAATAATCTTAATGTGGGCTTTACCTCTCAGCTCCCCCCATAGCCTCAACCATTTCCTTGCAAAGCTTCATTGGAGGTGGAAATGGCTTAGGATCTCGCCCGAGAATGAAGCCAAAATCAACATGGAAAAGACGTCCATCATCTCTAAGGAGGAGGTTGTCTAAATGCCTATCAATCAAAATAAACTCAAAACGATTCACTTCAAGTGGGAAAGCAAACAAATTTCAAAATTATATAGGTTCAGTAACATTAGCGAATCTACCTGAGCCTTCTCAACTGAAATTTGGGGAAGGAATCTTATATTCCATGTTTTCAATTTGTTGAACAATATAAATGGCAATAGCAATTTGCATCAAAAAAATAAATAAATATATAAATGGCAATAGCAATTGATATATAAAAGATAGAGAAAATTACATCTGAGGACATAGACTTCGTCAATTATATATCAAAGGACCAAATTTTAGGAAAGATACAACTTTTAAAACTGAGTGGTAACTTTGGTCATCGGAAATAATAACAATTTTTAAGATTCTGTGCTCTAAATTTACAAAATCTAAGTCCTTAAATGTGATTTCCCCCGAGCCTCTTTGAATTTTTACCTAAACTTCTTTTAGGAAAGTAGTGCAACTTTCTCAAAACCGAGTATTAACTTTGGTCATTAAAAAGAATTATATATATATATATATTTCAAATTCTAAGCAGTAAACCCTAATTGTAAATTGAAACCCTTGTTACCCAAAGAACAAAAAATTGAAACCCTAATAAGAAGTGTTTGCATCACAAAGAAAAACAAGATTGGAGTATTTAAAGGATTATGGTAAACTATTCTAGATGGAAAGTAATATGATTGGACTGAAATTAACAATCACCTGTCTCCAATCCCAAGTATATATGTGATAACAGAGTAGCCAGCACAGCTTTTAATAAATGTTTCAAGACAGGCAGCTGTAATGCCAAAAGGACCTTGGTCATCAGGATGAAACTTCTGCAAATAGCTTATAATACTACGATGCTCTGACAGGATCTAGAATGAAAGGACTATATATTAGTTTGGGAATAGAAAGAACGTAATTCTACAACCAATGGAACCAATTATTAAACACCAAAATCATAGTTTTGCAAATAACAATAAAAGGTGGGGAACAAAACTTGTTTAAGACAATAATAAAATCCAAGACAAACACAAGTATAATGATGGATCAAGATAGAACACAATTTCTAGTGATAGATGTTGCATATATCTAAATATCAATATAAAAGAGTAAAAATTTCAAACAACCTGTGACAGAAAGATAAAGCAGCTTCTGCACGCTACTACAAGAATTCAAAAATCGTACCTGTGCCAATGAACGAGATGGAATGAATTCCAACATGCCTTCATCTTGTCCAGTTGCAAGAACTTTGTATGGCGTTAAGTGCAGATCAAGATTTTCTAACTTTAGCAATCGATCCATGAGTGAAACCATTTGAACAACCTAGAAAAAGGAGACGTTAAACCAAACTAACTACTTTTTTCCCCTTAAATATTCATCTCCACACACGTGGGAGAAAGAGCAAGAGTCTGTATGATTACCAACTGGTCCTGCCGAATATCATCACCCTTTTTAAACATGATTTTACAAGTACCCCCATTTGCTGTTCTAAAGGTAAGTCGCAAAGGATGCAATGCGCTCTTAAATATTGATGACTCTGATGGTATGATCCCAGTGATGAGGACATTCGGTGCCAAGGGTGAACGTATAGGCTACAATCAAAAGAGCACCCCGATATTTGTTTGATAACATAACTTGAGGAACTGTCTAAAATTCAATTGACATAAAAAAGAGTGTGGATTAAATCAAGAGACTAAAATTACACGAGTTTCCTGGTGACATATCATTCAACGATGTAAAAAAGAATGTTTAGAAAATGATAACAACAAAGAGCATCATGATAAGGATATACCTCCTCAAAATAGGTAAGTTCACTAAAAATCCCAGAAAGTACTTCTCTAAGCTTTTCAATCTTCTTTTGGGTATTGCCACGGGTACCTCTTACTTCTCTTGAGACTGAACACAACTGAGCAGTTAATTCTGTCTGACGCACCAAACTATGCCACAATTTAATCCCATCCTCCTCTCCATTCACACCAATAGCCGCCTATTTCAAAGAAAATGTCATCAATGAACTCCAGAATGAACGAATACTAACTCAGACCAGCATTTTCCATCACCGTTAATAGGTTAAAAATATCACCAAGAAGATCAATATGTTGCAAGGATAGTGTCACTTGAAAATCTCACCAAGAAGATCAATATGTTGCAAGGATAGTGTTAACTGGACTCCTTTAAGCCACCCCCCACCCCACCCCGAAAAAGAAGAAGAAGAAGAGGTTCTGTGATGTCTAATTGACTTTCTGATTTCATTATATTTTTATATTTTTGAGTAAAAGCATATCTGCTGGCATCTCCAAGCTCTACATTTTGAAATCAATTTATTAAAGAAAATTCACTTATTCAGGGAATAAGAAAAAACTTCAGATTCATTGAAAAAAAACAAAAGGTTTCACATAATCCTAGGTCTCTAGTGAAAGGATATTGGAACAGCAAAGAAGTAGAAACGGCTTTGCTATTATGTCGAACTTGCAAATGAAGAGAGAGGAGGAAAAGGAAGATATCAAGCAGCTTAACATGATAATAAGCATGATGGAATGCACTGAAATTTGGAAAGTGAAAATTATTACAACAAATACAAAGATACTAATAATTCATACAAGGCCACACCTTCAGCATATTCTCCTCCAGAATCTCATATGTGCAATAAAACCGTTTGGCGTATACAGGATCGAAGACTTCAGTAGTTACATACCAGCGAAGAAAGCTGGCCAATTCAATATTGCGTAACGCTGTTGAAGTTTAAGTAAGGCTCACTTCAGCCGAGAAGCTATAAGATAAAAGAAACACTTGAGCTTACTCTAAGGGCCTCATGCACATACCACGCTCAACAAGGAAATGACAAAGGCAAGATTTATCAGAGCGCTCAAATCGAAGAGCCTGAACCAATTGAAGCAAGTAACACTGAAGCTCTTCATCATCAGCTCTTCCAAGAACACTAACTGCATAAGCACGGACCTGAAAAGTAGTAGTAGAGTAAGGCCTGATACCAATAAAACAAAAGGTTGTAATTATGTCGTAATGCATCTATGCTAGCGCCAGAAGAAGTGGGCGCATTGGCATTTCAAGTTTAACAAACACTTGATTAGGTGGCAGCATTACATGCATGTCCTTACATTAATAAGCATTCAATTAATATTGAGGATAAAACAGTATAAGTTTAGATATGTCAAGGACTTGTGTGAAAATAAGGCCCATGAAGGGTTTGGCATATATCTCTTAAGTGAAAGCCCTTTGGGCTTGAAATGAGGACAAAGCACAAGATTATCTTAATGGTACAAGGACATAAAGTTAGAGGCGGCAAAAATCAAAGTCTTCAGTCTTGATTGATTGTTTAAAGAGGCTTTGCTATTATGTCAAGGATCAAGAGCATGGATGAACTGGTCTCTTGCATGAAAGACTAAAATCTCATCCACTCTACTGTAGCTTCCAAATCCCTGTTCTAGCAATCTTACCAGCATTTGTTCACCCATGATTGTTCTAAGAAAGAGACTTAACATCTTTGAATGGTTATCATCACTGAAATACAAAGCAAAAGGTCAACTATAGCATGAGACCCCTAGCCCGTGTGAAATGGATGAATCATTAGAAGCCCAAGCAAGTATAAACAGATTCAATTTTTTTTTTCCCCCCCAACAGCAAAGCACTGTTGCTTCGCAAATTGTGCAGTACAAAAGGTCAAATATGGCTGAACAACTTACGACAAGTGAAAATATCCAAAATCATCCACTACTATGGAGATCCCATTTCCTTAGTAGCACAAAAATCTATGCTATATAAATGTAAAATATACCTCAGATTACTGTCAACCCAACTGCCAGAGTCACAAGCTTTAGTAGCAATTTTTTTCTAAAATTATATTAAATGTAAAAAACCTGAGATTACTGCTAATTTAATTGCCAGAATCCCAAAGCCTTGCTGTGGGCAAAATTCAGCCTACCCAGCTAAAGCTTTCGTATTGCTATAGTTCATAATTTTCATTACTAGGAATTAGAAATCTTAATACATATGGTCAATCAAAGAAAGGTAACATGGGCATAACTACTAGAGCATATGTAAGGAGTCATTCTAAGTTTGTGATGGTAGCCGGTAAAATTTAACATTACACCAGGAAATGACAGAGAAAAGGCAGCTAAACATGTGCAACGGTTTTTTAAATGAGAGGTAATATGGACGTGCCGACCAGAGCATGAGTAAGAATTAAGTCTAGGTTTGAGATGGTACTCCTTAAAATTTACCATTGCACCACGAAAGACAAAAAGGCACTTAATATTTTAACAACATTTAGGAAAGAAAACATAGCTCTGCACTAAAATATGCATCCAAATTACCTCTTCACTTTCAAAAACAGGAGATAAGAGTTCCAGCGCATCACAGACATCAATCATTTCCCATTTTCCCATCAGTTCCAGAGCTTGTTTTGCTTCCTGTGGTCAAATGAACATTACAAAGTAATAATGTTATCACAATCTTATTAACACAAAGAAATAAAGATAAAAAAGAAGGAGAACAAGAGATAACAAGATGACCATTTAAGTAACTCAAATCAATTAAAAGATAAATTCAAAGCATGTGATTAGTTGGACGTTAAACTTTCAGCCAAACTAAGATAATTACAATGCATTTATATGTAAAATAACAAGAAACTGGAAAACAGTTAATATATGAAGGGAAGGGAGACAAAAAACATCCATAGGTCTCAAACATATCCAGTACCCAGTAACACCCCAAATTCATGTTTCCAATTCCATGTAAATGACCATGGCCATCCTCATATATACCCTTTCAAAAGAAAAGAAAAAACGCCTCTATATAAACATCAGTAGTTCTCACATTCTCAAAAAGCAAAAAGTTCCATGCTGAAAATCCTTGGAATTAATATTTGACTTTTGCAGAAGTGTGCCTCAGACTTCCCAACTCTCAATACAGGAAGTAGACCTTCTACTTTACAAAGTACAACAAAAGCATCCCATCAATATTTTTATGAAAACCAAGGTAGTATGAGATTCCTACACCCACAAGGAGCAGTATGATCTACTCTATGGGGCACTTAAATTGGGGTACTATCACCTTATTAGTTAGTTTATGAGGGAGGCTTCCACACCGCACTTTAATGCCATCATATTTACAATTAATATTTTGCCATTGAAAAACTTAAGCTGGATAGGGAATGCACCCTTTCCAAGTTACTGTAACTAGTCATGATAAAATAATTCATCCAAATATCATCTATTGCTTAACTTCTAAGATTATATTAGGCTGACCTGGACGTCACTCCATTCCACACAACGAAGGAACTTTGTGAGAGCCTTCTTTTCAGACATCAAAGAGAAACGAAATTTCCATAAGAGCTGCCTCTCATCTCCACTCAATGTTCTGGTTGGAGGGTATTTTAATATTCTCTGTATGGACCTTGGCATTAAGGAGAAAGGAAATTTAGGAACAGTCAGATAATGCAACTATAAGCCAGAAATATTGAACAAGTATGTCAGTGAGAAAGGGAAGAAAATATTTGTTCAAATTATATTCAAAAGAGAAAAACAAAAAAAGTACATAAAAAAGATTCAGCACATATGAGCTACACAAATTCCGTTGATGCTATGACTTCCTTCCCAGTTTTCCTATTGTAACAAAGACAAGAACATCCCATATGTTTTTCTTCACCGACATTTTGAAAGGAAAATAAATGTTCAATTATCTAACAGCATATGACTAAATACTTTAGAACAATACTGACCAAGGGCCCTTAGCTGCAGTTATGTAATGCCATTTCTCCTACCTTAGAGAATGATCATCTTCAGGATTTTGGAAAGAAAATCAAACTCCCAAGACAATTACCAAAAGCATAATATTGAGCAACAAAAAACCCCACTTATTCATTCCAAAACATTTATTTATAATAGACATATTGCAGAAAACGCACACGGTAGTGAAATGTCATCAACATTTTAATTGATCTCTTCCTCATTTGATAAACATTGCACCCAGATGAGAATATGCAGATCTATGGACTAATAATGATGAATCTGGATCTCAAAAATCATCAACAAATCCATATTCCTTTTCCATGATCAAAAAATTCATGCAGCAGAAGCATTTTAGGTCCTACATAAATGCTCATCAATTTACAAGGATTGACATTGCAATGAGAATGAAGTTACGGTTTGAACATGATAAATCATAAAGCACTCAACCCAGAGCTAAGAATCCTATTTAAGAAGAAAAACAAATATCTGGTCATAGTTGTCATCATTATATCAGAAACAAAAGTCAAAGCATACTTCCTCTCATTTGAGCTGGGCTTCAGATCTCTATCTATGACACCACGAGTCAAGCTCCTAGCCCAGCTTTAATGCTTGTGCTCAGAGGGATTTATCTTTCCCATTTCTGGGTCCC